TACGGGTCAATGTTTGTCTGAGGCTTGCTGTACTCGGGGGGTGGCGTTTAGAACAGGTCTTGGCCTTCATGACGTGCCATATTGAGTAATCCAGCGGATTAAGATCGGGGCTGGATGGCGGCCACATATCCTTCGCCCAGAACGGAAGATGTTCCTGCAACCACTTCTGAGTGCGGTTCGAGGTGTGGCACGGAACCCCATCTTGTTGAAATACAACATTTGGCTTCGGACCATACTGTTCTTTGATCCACGGAAGAACATACTTACTTAAAATCCCGATGTAGACCTCCGTGTTGACATTGTCGCCTTCTGGAATGAACACCGGGTCCATTTTTTTTTGCCATCGAAAGCCACCAATCCAAACACCATAACACTAGCAGGATGCTTGGTCAGATACACGTTCTTGTGCACTTCTTTTATCGGAAGAGAACTAATATACAGGTCGGTTCTGGAATTTGATACGGGATCGTCGGTAAACATGCTCTCGTCGGTGAACAGGATTACCGGATTTTTTCGCTTAAGGAAGTTCAAGATTTTCTTGCATCGTTCGACTCGTAGCTCCCGGATGCGGTTGGTAATCACGTGAGTTTTTTCCGTGCCCTCGACTTCGCCTCGCAATCTTCCTTTACGATCTTCCGTGTCGTAAAGTCACTGATCCCATGTTCCTTTGCCATTTTCCTTATTGAACGCACTGGATTCACTCGAAGCTTCCTTTTGATAGCAGCGATAACCCTCGGACCCCGAGCTGACCTCGGACGAACTGTGGCCACCTTCGCGGATAGTTGTCCTTTCTTTTCTCGGTCTAAAACCCTTTTGACGGTCCACCGGGACACTCCCACGGCGATTGAAATGTCTTTTTGCGACATTTGCGCGTGGGATAAATCACGAATACGCTGCCACTTCGTCATGGTGCAACTGTCAAACTAAGTAAATCATTTTCTTTTATACACAGCCTACTACGGTATGAGCTATAGGTTACGTGCATGCAAAGAAAACCAAGGAATTGTATGCACAGGTGAAACGGGAACCTTATTTGTACGATGGTGCAAACATTATCACGCATACGGTTTCTCTGCGCTGTTACTTAAGACAAACGGCATCTCCATAGACATCGGGTGACCTAAGTAACATCGAAAAATCTTTTGATGACAAGGTGATTAGGTCAAAAAGTAATTCGACTGGTATATAAATTTAAAAATACGATTTGATCCTATATTCGGATAGTATATATAGTGTATATAGTATATCTAGACTAACATTTGAAAGGGGCGTAAGAGCCAAAATGTAAACAAACCATATTTTGCCACATATAGAGAGAATAGTTCACAAACTTCTCGATAAACACGAAAAAGTAGAAGAAAATATCACTTCAAATCACCAAAAACGTTTCTTCTTACATGGCGTATTTCCAACTATGATGAATATGGTTGTTACGCCTTGCACCAGAACAACGAATTATATTGTTTTAATATGCCAAACGTATTGACTCTGTAGTATCTAGTCACGCCCGATTCATTTGAAACGCATCCGATTGATATTTCACGTGTAAACAACGAACAAAAAGAAGACCAAAAAATCTCCGGGCGTAATTCCACTCTCACAAAATTTGCGAACGAAGAACCAAGGCGGAACAACAAACAAAAAATCCCGAGGGTGTACTTCCACGGCGTATCACCAGTGTTGGCAGTTCAAAGGGTGGATGATCTGGGGGGTAACAACATGTATGAAATTATCAGGGCGTATGATGTTTTCTTCTCAATTTCACGACAAAGAAAACTTTTTTTGAGTTTTTAGTGATGCACGATGATAGATTACACTATTAACTATATGTCAAGCTTATAAAATCAACCAGAAAATGGAAAGTCGTGTAATAGGATTAATTTTTAGGTCAACGAAATTCAGAAGCGATTTTCTCGATATGGTCATTTTGGAATTACGCCCTTTTCAAATGTTAGTCTAGATATAGTGTAATATCAGGAGCATCGATTGGAACTGATAGCTCGACTTTGTTTACCTTTGTTACTTTCGACGTAATCAAAATTTGCTCTTGAATGCTTCTTTTAACAGATACGGATTGCTTTTGCAACACAACGTTCGCATACTAAAATATAGAGAATGGAAAGCATTGTAGTATCTAGTCAAGCAAGATGGAATAGATAGAATGCCATGGATGGAATAATCAACTAGTTATGGTTAAGCAAATTTATTTGGATGTGTTCATATAATGGCATTGCATTGATATTCATTGAAGACCTAAAGACAAAACGATACACCGAGCGATACACTCAACGTTCGCTTCCTGAAACATGCTTAATTTACACCTACCGGTCGACATTCGTTAACTGAAATGCAGTTAGGGTTGGTGCATTTTCAAACCCAGTTTTAACTGAAATACTGAACTGAATATTCAGTTACTCAAATACTGAAAACATGTTTCAGTTAGCAGGCTTTTAGTTAATATCAGCGAATCCAAACACATAAAGCAACCAACGATACAGACAAAACGGTTGCTACGACTGCCATGACAAACTCGCTCTATAACATAGCTCAATCCGAGTGGTAGAAGGATAATGATATATTGCTTGCCTGCTTTGTTGCAATATACACGGATGAGGACACAGCTTGATATGAATCGAGAAAAGACATAACAAAAAAATTCCCATTAACACACGTGTATCATCTTCGTCTTTACTTCGTGAAGCAGCTTGCCAACAATTTGCTCGTTTCCTTCTACCGCCCGAGTTAGTTGTGTCGCACGGGCTGCTTGTCATGAAAAAGAACGAAGAAGATTATATCATAATTGCTTTTCACTTCTGACATAGCGTTATTATTCGGTTCGTTGATCGCTTGTCAATTTGTCATCTGGAGATATTTTTGATTCCTTGGTTAATATACATTTAAGTTAAAAGTCTTTCACTTAGCGAACATATAGTGTGTCATAAACTCATTGCCGACCTTTATTACACATTGTGCACTTAAGTAGACTGCAGTGAAAATAATTGTTGTTTTTGTTGTTGTTTATTACCGACACTTTACATCTGCATTCGTGTCTTATTTAGTGAATTTTTTTCACTTAGGCCAGTTAAAATACAGATTTACCATTTTGAAGTAAATTCTTTAGGAATTCCTTAATGAAATGCCACTCGTTATAGACTAAGAGGAAGAGGGAACTTCTCTGACGTTTGTGAAATGCACAAGTATGAGTGCAGAACTTGGGGTAAATTATTAGTGCAAGAAAACCTTTGAATTCACCAAAAGTTCTGCACTAATATTTGTGCAATTCCTTAACATCAGAGAAGTCTATTCGCATCATTCATGCTTAAGCTTTTATTTGCCTTTCACAAGTAACGTGCTTCATTGAACACAAACACAAAACATCAATGAACAACTAGGGGAATGACAGCGATAAGGCCGGGTGCATGGTTCGGTGGAAAAATACGTAACAATAACAATCAAATTTACACATTTAGATATGCTCAGGTAGGGGATCAATTCCATCTATTCAGATAACAGTGTGGGATATTTGTTGCACTTGTGCGGTTGATGCTTACCGTTCCACGTTTCACGGTCAGCACAAGCTGTTTTACATTATCGAAACCTTCTCAAATTACTGTTTCAATCATTTACCCCACTCTGCAGGGGATGATTTTGCATATCAGCTTTCAATCTTTATCACTTTCCTTTTGCTTGCGTGCTTTATACTGTTGTTATCAGTTCGCAAATAAAATAAATGGGCACGGGTTTTGCACATTTTTTGAGGATAAGACAAGTGTGACCGCATTTATCAGCAGGGAGGACAATAATTCAATTGTTGTTTGTGTGTTCGAGTTAAAAATAGCTCTTTGAAGTGTGCCCAATAAATTGAACCGCATCTTATTTTTTGAAGGCCATTGGACATTGCATTCTTCTCGCAGAAAAGAAACCGGTTTATTCGCAAAGTGTTAAGCGGACCCTACATGATTGCTTTTATTCACAATAATCATATTGTCAATGCATTCTATATTGACGTCAATACATCGGTATTAACTATATTTCTGTATCACATCATCAACATTATTGTCTATAATTGGGTTGTAAATTCATATTCGGTATCTGCATTACAGATGGAACCGAAATCTAAAATTTCATCAATTTTTGTACACTGGAACTATTTTAAATAAGTATGATTACATTAACAAAAATCACCATCTTAGCACCCCTTGGTGGGACTTTGTATGGGAGCGAGCTGTCAACGAATAGATTTAGTGTCAACGATCAAAAATTTAAATATTGATTTAAAAATCGAGATGAATGTCTACGGGATCGATAAAAATATCGCTGTGCTCAGAAAACGAAGCTCTATCAGATGATGTATAAAAATCGGTATGTTTTTCGAAGTTAAACAACCCAATTTTTCTTCGCATCAATATACTGATACGTGTGGAGTTCGCTTTATGCCGATGGCCTGTCCAGGGTTGCCACATGCACATATTATTCTATATTTTGCAGATTTTCTTGATCATTTCTTGGCCAACAATCTGATTTACAGATTTTTAGCTAAAGCTGAGCTGTTGATTGTACATATATTGCGATTTATGTTTTTATTTGCAATGAATTTTATTTAGCGTGTACAATACGCTTATTTTTCGTTTGAATCGACGATATATGCTCTGAAAAGTAAAGAAATGGTTTAATTTACGTTTACTAACATTTTCTTCCCAAAAACTTTTTTTAAACAGATTTTTTGCCTCGCGATACAGATATGTAAATTTTTTCAAAAAAAAAATACAGGTTTAAATGTGGAAACCCTGGACCTGTTGCACTACTACCTATCATTTGAAAGCAAGCCCACATTAGTGTTATTTCCACCTTTTTGGATAGCCATCGCATTCAGTGGGTGTGTGAGTGTGTGTGAAAAATCTCCGTCGAATCGTCATAAGCCGGCTGGGAGCCAACCAACCGATAGTGACTGTGGTGTGGTGTTGTTCAGCGTTGCAAACTTCATACTTTATTTTTCATACTGCTCTTCAGTCTGTTTCGTGACGCGTAGAAGTGAACATGTTATCGCGTAGTGTCATTCAACTGAGCAGGTAGGTGGATTCAAAAGATGAAGAAGATCATATTTCAATTTCTCAAAGGTTACTGAAGTGCATGAAGATTGATCAAGTTGAAGCAAATGTCACACGAATGTAGTGATAGCTCTGTTAATGTTTTGTTTGTGTTTCAAGACCGGTGCTAGGCAATGGTGTGAGTTATCGGCTAATGGGATGAATTCATGCTGATTGACGTCAATGTTGTGGACAAACATTAGAATTTTTTTTTTAATGTTCGGTGTGAGATTATACATATTGACCTGATTTGATGCTGCAAGCTATGGTATGAATATAATTTTTGATAGTAATATTTACGTTCACTAGAGTTGGTTGTTTACGTTATTTATATTGTGACAAATGACATAATCTGAATAAAAATTGTGCGGTCATGTTCATGTTCAATGAACCTAAAAATGGTCAAACCCTCGCCCTCCTATATTTTTCCGAGCTCACACGAACTTTATGCTGTAGGAGAAACGGCTGGACCTCCGTATCTCAGTATCGATGAAGATACAATAGGTATAGCTGGAAGAGCCCTCTTGCTACTGCTGGTTCAGAGTTTGTCGGTATGATTCCAGCTACCGCCGTGATGGCCTCCCGAAAAAAATTATAATAAAATAATGAAATTACAATGATTTTTGCTGTTGAATTTCGAGTACATTAAAATTTATTGTTAAATTGTTGTATGGGAGAAAAATTTAATTTCTATTTTAAACGATGAACCATGAATATTAGTGTGATGAGATAAGATTTTTCCAAGGGGGGCGACACATCTAAATCTCAATTTTAGATGCTCAATAAATCTCACACTAGCGAATAAATTTTCGAAAAATCTTTTTTCATTTCTCGCATCTACTTGCATCGCGCATCATCTTTTTGCAGGAAATCTTCAAAATCGTGATAAATCTTCTTTCTATCTACTCAGCGTACGCGCAGCTAGCCACAGCAAAACACAATATTTCCTGCATCGTAGATAGAGTCGTCCCCCTCGGATTTTTCGAGAAAAATCTGTTTTTTTTTTATTGTTAAGATGCTTAACAACCCCCCTTTTTTACTGTAAATTTCTCAAATACCATGATTTTCATTTATGGGAACCATGAATTTCGTTGTGATTTTATGGTAATCGACAAAAATGTTCAGTGTTTTGATAGTTAATATTGTAACAGGTGGGGTACTCCACTGGTAAGCGTAACTGTTTTCTCACCGCAATGGGTCTGGGTTCAATCCCAGCCGAGGTCGGTGGGATTTTTCTGATTCATAAAAAAATCTCTGGTCACGTCTTCCTTCGGAAGGGAAGTAAAGCCGTTGTGGAAGCTGCGTTTCCTGCACATTCGATTGCCGTCGTCAATGGATGGCAATCGATGTCCGTCGGTGATTGGCACTAGATTGTGGAACAGAGACCGACGTTAAATAAAAACATAAGGTGGGTTACTTCCTGCCCAGCACTACAAAGACCCCCCTCTACACTGCCTCAGGGTCGGCATATGCGTTTGAATATAGTGACTAAAAAACACTCAAATCTAGACCAACAATTGAAATAGGCGGAACAACCAAACGTAAACAATAGGTCGTATGAATAAAAGCGTTTACTTTACTTTTCCCGTAAGAAAAGCACGGGACAGTAAAGTAAACTCTTTTTATTCATACGACCCAATGGCTTTAAACGCAAATTCCTCGAGAATCAAACCACTCCCACGCAAGCTAACCATGCCATTCAATAAAGGAAGTTTACTCTATCAGATGGTGGTGTTAGATTGCTTCGATGTGTTTTGATTATAGAGGAATTTGCGTTTAAAGCCATTGTTTACGTTTGGTTGTTCCACCTATTTCAATTGTTAGTCTAGAAATATCCTCGCAAATATCTAAAGCCTTGTTCAGACTACAAAGTTATAACATGTTAAAGCGTTATCTTGATGGTGGTTTCTGTGTTGCAATTAGTTTACAACCATTATACCACAAACGAAGTGACAGACGACTTTCTCCGAAGAAAATAATTAAAATAATGTGGTTCTTTGTAATAGAATTTTAGTCCACCTTCCGCCCCTCACCACCAGGTTCGCTAGTATTTTTGTTTTGAATTAATTCATGTTGGTTATGTGTGCAATGATCTGGCAACCCGCGTTCTCGCTCGCGTTGACGAGGTGCTGTTTTCTCACTCATCGAAGGAAATTTTTGATTAGAGTGAGAAAGTAAGGAACAGTCAGCGCGGGAGCCGTGTGCGTTACTATAGGTGCGGCAGAAGGAATGTAGTCGACTCTTTCGTTCTCACGGTGTTCTTACGCATGATCCAACGTTTCGTCACACTAGATTATGCATAAGAACGTCGTGATAATGCAAGTGCTGGCTTGTTTCCTTCTGCCTCACCAAGCACATTGATCACAGCACCTGCGATTCTCCGTCGGTTCCTGGTGCAAACACTAGAAGTTTTGGAAGGTTCTCCCTCAGTACCTGTAAGCAGCGTGATACTAGCTGACATTTGCTCAATATGGGTAGAGAAATCCGGAACATTTTCTCACCTTTGAGTATCAACGTCAACCCGGTCTCGAATCGCATTTCCGCTTGAGGTAGCACCGTTGGCAGCAATCTACTGCGCCGTGAGAAAGACCTGCTTAGTGCACTAGTGCTGGAAAATTCACCTTCTAAGGAAGGTCGTCATTAAAATGAAATCAACTTTTTTTCGCTGTAACGTACTCCGGATCAGACTCGCTGGTGGAACGTTTTCGTGGGACGGTTTTCGACCCGAAAAGCTTCTGTTTGAACTGCTTTGCAAAAGATTTCTGGGCAGGCGTCTTGAGACGCACGATCTCCTGCCCCAACGAGGCATCCGTTAGCGTGTTCGTGTCAGAACGGATGACCTCTTTGATCGACTGCAATTCTACCATCGATTTTCGGCGCTGCTTTTTGTTTAATTTCACACGATAGTTGAAATCGAACACGGTCGACGATCCGACGGAGGATGCTTCTTCTTCATTCTCCGAAGAAGTCAACGATTTGATCTTTCCGAGCTGAGCTTCTCGAGCCTTACGACCGGTTTGGCTCGAAGCAATCTTTCGACGAAAGTTCCTCGTGGCAGTGGAAACTTCTTGACCAGTTCCTTCAGACTGATTTCTTCGCTTTGAAGAAACGAACGAGGAAGAACTAGACGAAGACGTGGACAGCCGTCACTTCGACGTTGGTTTCTTTCGTGTAGAAACCAGATCGGAATCGCTGTCGTCACTGTCTATTGCGGTTCGTCTTTTCTGAGATTTGCGTTTGGTCGTCGATACAACTGACTCTTCAGAATCTGAATCATCCGATTCAATCTGACGTCTGCCACGAGATCGGCCCCTGGAACTCCCCTCTCTGCTATCGTTACCGGCTTCCGCCCATCTTGCTGCTTCCGCTCTTCGGGAAGCCTCGGCTAGGTTCAAAATCGCTTCCGGCGTCTTTCGGACAATCGGACGACAAAAGGTGCAAACATAGGTCTTCGAGGGAACCTCCATGCACTGCTCGTGGCGACAAGTCGAACCGCTCGTTGCACACAGTATCAGATCCCAACGCTTGCAATCGTCGTAATCTCGCCCATACCGACAGCAACACTCTACAGCGTCACACTCCGAAGAACGTTCCAACTGATCGTTGAATGCATTCGGTTCCAGCTCCCACGACGCATCCTTGAAACAAATAAAATAAAATATGCAGTATTCAAATACCGATTCACCCACCTCCGCCGCTTCACTTAATTTTCCGGAATATAAATGCCACGCTGATGCATCTGCTGACTAAAATCGTCCTTGCTGTTGCACAAAGGGCACTTGAGAAAGTACCTCGCCGATTGGGCAAACTGTGCCACGTAGCTCCGATGGAACCAGCTATTCTGACAGCACGGGGCATGACTCGATTCCAGCTTCCTGTACGGTCCCATATCATCGCAGAAAATCCCACAGGCTTCGGTCTCGGAGTGTTTCACCTTATCCACCAGTGCTACGTGCTTATCGCACCACGACTGGAACGTATCCACGTAATGCGACAGGCACTCATTCTGCATCCCACAAAGCGTATGGAATGAACGGAAGCACTTCTTCGCGCAACACGAAACGTGTGCATACCGTTCCTTGCAGATGTAACACTTTTGTCCTCGGATACGAGCTTCTTCATTTCTGATGTCCTCCTCCATGAATCCGAAGATTCCCTGCCCGTCTTCAGGTAACAAGGTACACGTAGCAGATATAATGACTAGTTTTGCCACGTCTAGTAGACCGGTCCAGAATAGAGCATCGTACCATCGTACCGCAATCATGCTCAAACGCGTGACATACAGCATCTTTAGCCGAAATAAATAATAAATTGAACACAATCGGTTTCATCCGATCCTCCTTCATTCTCACCTTCAGCACGTCGATCGCCTCTGATGCGATGGATCTCGGCATGATTTTGGAGTAAATTTTCCTCCTTCAGATCGCCCTCGTCGAGAGCTTTCGGTTCCGCTACGGAGGAGCGAATGCATACCGAGTATGGCCGCCCGAAAAAAAAAATAATTATAATGAAATAACTAAATTACAATGATGTTTTCGGGCACATTATAAATTTATTGTTAAATTATTGGACGGGAGAAAAAATAAATTTCGTTTTTAACGATACAATATCAATGAAAATTAATTTGATGAGATCAAATTTGTTCGAGAAAAATCAGTTATTTTATTGTTAAGATGCTTAACAACCCCCCTTTTTTACTGTACACTTCTCATATACCATGATTTTCGTTGTGATTTTATGGTAATCAACAAAAATCTCCATTCAAAATCATTGTATTTTTATAGGATTTTTTTACGGGTGGGTCCTGTTTGGCGTCCAACAACGATATCTTCTCGGTCGCGAATGACCGTGGCTTTGGTTAGGAGCACCGAATGATGAAATCTTTAGCAACAATTGCCACCAACAAGCGCGAGTCATTGACAGCTCAACATCGTTTACTTGTAAGCAAATGTTAACCCGATGTGTTTACCCCTAATCATTTT